AATTCTGCGTAGTTTAGTCAGAAATAATTATTTTTTAAATAATGTATGGCTCAAAACAGTAACTTTTTTTAACATTTTCACATAGTAGGCATCTTTTATAGTGACAGTTTCATTGTAATGATACTAATGATTGTCACTTTCCATAGGTGGAATTTTAGGGGGGCAATTGCCCCCCCCCAATATTATTGCAATTGAGCTAAAAAAATTTAACTCAGCGAGTTCAATACTCGTAAAACCACAGACAGATGAGTTAAACACCAGGTAGGCGGCGGAAAGCGAATTCAATACTCGTATGCGATACAAGTAAAACCACTGACAAGTGAGTTAAACCCTAGATAGGCGGGGAAAACGAGTTAAATCTCGTGCGACCACAGACAAGTGAGTTAAATCATAGATAGGTGGGGGAAAGCGAATTCAGTACTCGTAATACCACAGGCAGTTGTTATTTTGCAAATAATTTTTTTTTTATGATTTTAAAATGTAGCTCTGGTACTAATGTAGTATAATTTTATAAAAGTTGTGTTAGGTTTGGTGAATATTGAATTTTATCTTTTCCATTATTATCTATTTTTTTTATCATCTTTGCCTATGGAACTCGAGAAATTAATTATATTTATATACTTATGAACGTTTTACTGAATTTATTTATGAACTTTTCTGAAACGTCATAAAATAGTTTATTCAATACTGAAATAGAACTGTGTACGTTATGGGAACCATTCGATCAACTTTGTGNAACTACCATAAGTTTCATCAAAATCGATTATAAATAAGGATAGTTTTGTAACTACTCTTAACAGAAATTTTTCGAATTTTTTTTATTCCTTTGAATTATCAAGCAAATATTATTTTTTTAATGAATTTTGAAGAAAAAATGTCCCTACTGTAAACAGTAACTGTTTTTAACATTTTCACATAGTAGGCATCTTTTATAGTGACAGTTTCATTATAATGATACTAATGATTGTCACTTTCCATAGGTGGGATTGAGGGGGGCAATTGCCCCCCCCCCCAATATTATTGTAATTGAGCTAAAAAAATTTAACTCAGCGAGTTCAATACTCGTAAAACCACAGACAGATGAGTTAAACCCCAGGTAGGCGGGGGAAAGCGAATTCAATACTCGTATTGCGATACAAGTAAAAACACTGACAAGTGAGTTAAACCCTAGATAGGCGGGGAAAGCGAGTTAAATCTCGTGCGACCACAGACAAGTGAGTTAAATCGTAGATAGGTGGGGGAAAGCGAATTCAGTACTCGTAATACCACAGGCAGTTGTTATTTTGCAAATAATTTTTTTTTATGATTTTAAAATGTAGCTCTGGTACTAATGTAGTATAATTTTATAAAAGTTGTGTTAGGTTTGGTGAATATTGAATTTTATCTTTTCCATTATTATCTATTTTTTTTATCATCTTTGCCTATGGAACTCGAGAAATTAATTATATTTATATACTTATGAACGTTTTACTGAATTTATTTATGAACTTTTCTGAAACGTCATAAAATAGTTTATTCAATACTGAAATAGAACTGTGTACGTTATGGGAACCATTCGATCAACTTTGTGAGTTTTGTGCAGTTTTAAGTATTTTTATTTTTCATATTTTTAAGTGAGAATTTGGAGTCGTACAGATTTTATGTTTCTTCAAAAAAGCCCAATTCATTAAAAAATAATATTACTTATTTGCTTGATAATTCAAAGGGATAAAAAAATTCGAAAAATTTCTGTTAAGAGTAGTTACAAAACTATCCTTATTTATCACCCATTTTGATGAAATTTATGGTAGTTAAAGACCCTTATGGTATGATTATTAAGTACAATTTCCATTCCGTTATCTTAATCAGAAAGAAAATTACGAGCCCAGATTCATATCGTTTGGCCCAATGTTATTTTTTGATAATGTTTTTGAAACAAACACTTTACACTATGGATACGACAATTATCCTTTATTGGCGATATGTAAGCCTTAATTAACAACATGTGTAACACATCTTAACAAATTTTTAAGAAAGACAGCAAATACTTAATCTAATTATGCGTAAAATAAAATTATGCCTATTCATATCATTTGGCCCACCATTATTCATTTGATTGAGCATCAGTCACCACTGTGTAACNCTTAAATCTGCAGACAAAGCTCTACCGCGAACCATTGTACACAAAAATTATTGCTGTCACAGCTATTTGACATTTACTTTAAAGCAAAGAGTGGAATTTGTTTCAGTTGATAATCCATAGCTGCCTCAGATAAATAAACATGTCATTAAGCTGAGTGGGCCAAATGATATGAATCTGTATAATTTTATTTTAAGCGCAATTAGATTAAGTATTTGTTGTTTGTTTTTCTTAAAAATTTGTTAAGATGTGTTACATATGTTGTTAATTATGGCTTACATATTGCCAATAAAGGATAATTGTCGTATCGGTTTTATAAAGTCTTTATTTCAAAAACATTATCAAAAAATAACATTGGGCCAAATCATGTGAATCTGGGCTCGTATTTTAAAAAATATCCAAATGATAAGACCCCTTTGGAGGCCCACATCCCAGTCACAGTGCTCCGGAGGACCAATGTTTATAGGAACTTTTTTTACTATTTTTGGCTCTACTTTCACCCCCTTAAATTTTGTAGCAACTTTTTCAAACACCCTGTATTGTTATAATAAAATGTGTATGTACTTGCATAATATACATACACTGAGCTCGTAAAGTTTGGAATAAATTCGATATTTCGTTATTGAAGGGTTTTGACAGGAAATCCTCGGGCACGTCAACTTTAGTTTATGAAATGTCACTTTTTTCAGCCATCGACTTTTTTTTTGTTTTGATTGTTTTTGAGCTATGACGTCATCGGCAATTTTTTTAAATGGCAACCCATATTTTTTCCACGGATTTCGATAGAGCACATTTTTCTGAGTACGAATATGTTAAAAACGTGTGACCTTCAAGATGGAAGTTTTTGAGATAATAGACAGTTTAAGTTGATTGTAGATGATCATGATACTAATTTGAGCATGCGCAACGGTCAAATTCTACATATACGTTATGTCCGATACATAATTTAAACTGTCTATTAGGTTCCAAAGTTTCAAGGATGTACCATATACAAGGTATCGAGTGGGTCAAGTTTTTTTATAGCTTATCGAACATTTTAAGAGATTTTAGGAAAAATTTGTTTAATTTTTTAAGTAATAATCAACAATTTTAACAAATGAAAAAAGGTTTCTGTACAAATGATAAATAATTAAAGTAAACAAGAAAATCAGAGGAAATTTTCAAAGTGACCTCCATTCACTTCTTGGCAATATCCCATTCACCACTGAAACTCCTGCAGAACCTTATGAAGAATATCTGGTTGAATGGCTCGAATTTCATTGCGAATTCTGTCCTTTAATTCTTCAATGGTATTTGGTCTATTGAAGTAGACTTTACTCTTTAAATAGCCCCATAAAAAGTAGTCTAGGGGAGTGAGATCCGGAGATCTGGGGGGTCATACGGTAGTTCCTCTTCGACCAATTGAACGGTTAGCAAATTGGTTTAAATAGTCGCGAACGATCACTGCAAAATGAGGAGGTGCACCGTCTTGTTGGTACCATATCGTGTTATTGGGCAGATCGGGATCTACGTCATTTGGGTAAAGCACCGCATGTGCAGGGACTAAATCGTCTCTTAAAAATTCAAAATATTTTTCATCTGTTAATGTGCCTTCAATGAAAAATGCGGTTACCGACAAGGCCAGCCCAAACGTTAACTTTTTGTAGAAACTGACTACGAGTTACCATTTTCCAGTGTGGATTTTCAGGCGACCAATATCTACAGTTTTGCCGGTTTACTGTGCCGTCGAGATAAAAGGTAGCCTCATCAGAAAAAATAATATTGCGTAAGAATCCCTCGTCATCAATCAGGTGTTGCAACATGGTTTCACAAAACTGTAACTACGGTCAGGATCATCTTCGTTTAATTGTTGGACCAAAACCACTTTATACGGATGCCATTTGTACAATTTCAAATATTTTAAGACGGAGCTTTGAACTATTCCGTTGTTTACCGCCACTTGGCGGGTGGGTAAATGGGGATTTTCTTGAAGCTCTAGTAGAACATTCAGTTTAACATCTTCTTGTACTGGTGGACGACCTGGTCGATCCCTCGCATTTTACTAACGGGGGACTGTGTAATTGGTTCTCTGTTTGGATATTTGTTGTTAAATAAACGGCAAACTTCTACTTGTGTGCCAGCTCTGTCCCCGTAACCGATCATCATCAAAATTTCGATTCTTTCCCTCCCTTTCACTCAAACGACGGACCATTTTCAAATAAAATGAATTCTGATAGAATAATGATTAATTAACTTAAAATAAAACACAAACTTGCGAGGACAAACTTCAAAATTCTGACAACTATCAAAACTGTAATTTTTCCAGCGCTTCTTTGATAAATGATTAGTATTTTGTCATCGTTTGTACAATGCATTCTTGAAACTTTGGAACCGAATATCTCGAAAACTTCCATTTTGAAGGTCATACGTTTTTGACATATTCGTACTCAGAAAAATTTGCTCTATCGAAATCCGCGGAAAAAAATATGGGTTGCCATTTAAAAAAATTGCCGATGACGTCATAGCTCAAAAACAAACAAAACAAAAAAAAGTCGATGGCTGAAAAAAGTGACTAAAGTTGACGTGTCCGAGGACTTCCTGTCAAAACCCTTCAGTAACGATTTATCGAATTTATTCCAAACTTTACGAGCTCAGTGTATGTACAAATCTATATAGTATGTTCCATAATCCAAACGATTTGATAATACAAACAATGCCTGGCAATGTGGTGTTCGGATTAAAGAGGTTGCACTGTAATAATCTCATGCAAATTACCTCTGTGCCAAGTTGCCTTGTTTTACCACTAAACAGCATCAAAATTGGCAAAAAATATAGATTTTACTACACATTACATTAAAACGCTTTGTTGATTTAAATGGAATTGTATATGCAATTTTTTCAGTGACATGCCACTGCAGAGGTCCGATAATGAACCGTTTCAGGAGAGTGACTGTAAAGATACAGAAGAGGAAGGATGTCAACATGGGACTGGATCGGAAAACAAAAGTAATACAACAACCAAGCAGGTTCAAATGTACAAATGTAATGACTGTGATTACGAAACTAAACACAGCGGTTGTCTCAAAACGCATCAACTGAAACATAAAGATCCTTCACAGGTTCAAATGTACAGGTGTAACCAGTGCGATTACGAAACTAAATATAGGGAGAATATCAAACATCACCAACTGACACATAAAGATCCTTCAGAGGTTCAAATGTACAGTTGTAATGACTGCGATTACAAAACTAAATACGGAAGTCACATCACACGACACCAACTGAAGCATAAAGATCCTTCGCAGACTGAAATGTACAGGTGTAACCACTGCGAGTACGAAACTAAATACAGAGAGAATATCAAGCAGCACCAACTGACGCACAAAGATCCTTCAGAGGTTCAAATGTACAGGTGTAACGACTGCGATTACGAAACTAAATACGGGAGCCATATCACAAGACACCAACTGAAACATAAAGATCCTTCACAGATTCCAATGTATAGGTGTAACCACTGCGATTATGAAACTAAATACAGGAGTCATATCACACGACACCAACTGAAACACGAAGATCCTTCGCAGATCCCAATGTATCGGTGTAACCACTGCGATTACGAAACTAAATACAGGGAGAATATCAAACAGCACCAACTGACACATCAAGATCCTTCAGAGATTCAAATGTACAGATGTAACGAATGCGATTATGAAACTAAATTAAAGGGTAATATCAAAAAGCACCAACTGAAACATAAAAATACTTCCCAGGTTCAAATGTACAGGTGTAACGACTGCGATTACGAAAATAAATACAAACATGCCATGAAACGGCACCAACTGAAGCATAAAGATCCTTCGCAGGTTCAAATGTACAAATGCAACGATTGCGATTACAAAACTAAGTACAAGCATGTTATCAAAAAGCACCAAAGCACCAAACATAAAGATCCATCTCAGATGTAACGACTGCGATTTGGAAACTAAATGTAGGAGCATTATTAAATATTTACACCTGCAGAGAGCCTTCTTAAATGCAATTGTACCGGTATGTTATGTTTCGCTGACAACCATGCATGAGGAGTCTCTGAGGAGACCTCGATTAATGCATAAAAAAACGTTTGCAGGTGTAAATTATCGCCCTTTGTGCGTAGTGCAAAATATAGTCGAGATGGAAGCATTTAAGAGCTACAAGTGTGAATATGACACAGATCACAAATATTGGAATGGGTGTACAGTGTGTCCAAGATAAGGATGGGATAGCATTAGGATCTAAGAAACGGTAAGAGATACGGGGTGGCTCAAATTAGAAAAAAGTTTTGTTTTTTTATAGTTCTGGAGATATCTGGAAAAACCTGAAAATTTGCAAAATTGCTTTATTTTTTCTGGCTTTATTTGAAAACGAATTTTAAAATAAATTGCATATTTACATTGCCGCTTTTTTCGCTCTATCCAATGGTGTCAACATTTTTGCAATCCGAAGTTTCGTCTTCTAGGGGCCATCATCAGGTTATTATATATATCATATTTATTTTCAAGAACAGTCACGTAGATCCAGTAACATTAATGAAAATAACGTCAACAGAGCTTTGCTAATACAGCACTAACAACTTTACAACTATCCATATAGAAAAAAGAAATACCTATATAATAGATTTCAGAGATCAATTCATCCTTACAAGCTATTATTATTAAAATACTCATCTACAGTATATGGTTCCAGATCTATTAATAAATAAAAAATTTTCTTTTTGAAAATTATTACATCTGTAATTATTCTTATATTAGCAGGCAATTTATTATACATTTTAATACGATTATAAAAGGCACCTTTTTCTGTAACTGTCAATCTGTGTATTGGATAGGAATAATCCTCAGTTCTGGTTTGGTGGTTATGTTGTGAAGACGTTTTTGTGAACAAATGCCTATTTTTTAAAAAGAATAATAATATTTCTTGTATGTAGACAGCTGTGAAAGTAAAAATTTATTTTCCTTGAATTTTCCCCTGCACGATTCTGGACTCTTCATTTTTAGGTTTATTGGTAACAACGCTTTTGAGTAAGAAAAATCCTTTCGGCATCTGAACTACTGCCATAAAAAATTATACCATATCGAAACACAGATTCAAAGTTAGCATGGTAAACTATTTTCAGTGCATCTCTCTTTATCTATTGGGCTATAATCCACATTGAATAAATTACATTATTAAGTCGCATAACATGTTGGACTGGTCTTTAAAATTTAGCACAGTGTCTAAAAAAGTTCTGCATAAAATTAATATTTTCGATAAACAATTTTTTTTCCGAAAATCCACTTACGGCAGCGATGACATAATTTTTTTTTAATGACAACGCATATTTTTTTCGTTCGAAATTGATGACAGTGATAATTATCTAAACAACGGTGTGAAAATTTCGATGTCTTACATAACAATTTTTTTTAGAAAAATGCACCTTAAGTTCTTGAATGCAATAATTTGCTGTTTACGGATCAAATGCCTTAGAAAAAAATTTATTCGGCAGAAAGCATTTCAGATAACTTAAGTTGCAACTGGTGTTATGTAATATTTGCGGAATTATTCATCAGATATTGTCAGGATCCTGATTAAACTGCAAAATTTAGAACCAAGTTCAACCGCACAAAATCCAAATAGTATGTAGCAAATTAAGGTCGACTTTTTGTCTTCGAGCTTGCCGATAAATTCCCAAAAAAAAAAGATCCAAAGAAATGTTTACTTGAAAGGAGTAGATTACCTGAAATATTGAAGACTAAAAATCAGTACCGATTTAACATTCTTTGGTGAAATCGTTTAATTCGAAATGGCAAAACTTAGTGAACGCGAAAGAATTGATATTTTGAGGATGATTGGTTTCGGCGATAAGTTACGAACCCATCAAGAAGCTTGCCAATTATTTAATGCAACGTACCCTGACAGACCACCAATTACGCAATCTACGGTTAGTAGGGTACTGGCAAGGTTTGAGGAAACTGGTAGTGTGAAAGATGCTCCTCGTGCGGGTCGTCCTAGAGTAGATGATGAAACTAGATTGAATATCCTGGTGGAGCTCCAGGACAACCCTCATTCTAGTACAAGGTCGATTGCATTGAACAATGATATTTCACATGTAACTGTGGTGAACTTTCTCAAAAAAGAGAAATTTCACCCCTATAAGGGTCACTTGATACATGCATTGACTGAGGACGACCCAGACCGCCGTCTCCACTTTTGTGAAGATTTAATGCATCGATGTAACGGAGACCCCGACTTCCTCAAGAACATAATTTTTTCTGACGAGGCTACTTTTTATCTTAATGGATCGGTGCATCGACATAACTGCCGGTATTGGTCTCAGGAAAACCCGCACTGGGTGCAAGAAGTAGATCATCAGCACCCCCGAAAGGTGAACGTTTGGGCGGGAATAATAGGGCGTCGTATTTTAGGCCCGTATTTTTTCGAGGAAAATTTAACTGCTGCTCGCTATTTGGATTTCCTGCGGTTCGATTTGGTCCCAAGCTTAGCAGAGTTATTCCCGAACAACGAGGATCCTGATATTCCTGAGGAAAGAATTTGGTTTCAGCAGGATGGTGCACCGCCCCATTATGGAGTGCAAGTACGGGAGTACTTGAATAACACGTTTACTGGCCGGTGGATCGGGCGACGCGGAACAATCGAGTGGCCTCCGCGTTCGCCTGATTTAACACCTCTAGACTTTTTTTTGTGGGGCTATTTGAAATCGCGTGTGTACACAAACAGACCAGGTGATTTGGAAGAACTTAAAAACCGTATTCGTTTTGAAATAAATCAAATCGACCCGGGAATGCTTGAACGAAGTGTAGACGGCGTTTACACACGCTTAGGACAATGCCAAATGGTACAGGGTGGGCAATTCGAACAATTTCGCTAGACTTACACAAACATTAGTGTAATTTTACTCGTTTGAAATGTAATTTTGTCAACTTTGTCCTTTTCGGAGCCATTAATAGTGTAAGTAGACAATTATCACTTATAAGAACTTAAGGTGCATTTTTCTAAAAAAAATTGTTATGTAAGACATCGAAATTTTCACACCGTTGTTTAGATAATTATCACTGTCATCAATTTCGAACGAAAAAAATATGCGTTGTCATTTAAAAAAAAATTATGTCATCGCTGCCGTAAGTGGATTATCGAAAAAAAAATTTTTCCTCATAACAAGGTGCCCTGGATCAAATAAAAATCGACGGGTCTCACCGTTTTTCGAAAAAAAATTGTTTAATGAAAATATGAATTTTATGCAGGACTTTTTTACCACGCTGTATAAATACCAAGAAACTTAGTACTATGAGTTGAATTATTTGGTGACATTGTAAAATTAATATGTTGTATTGTTTCATATTGAGCATGTGTGGTTTTAAATAGTACTACACCTGTTTTGTCCTTATTTAGGATCTGTCTATTTTTAGTGAACCAGTTATTTGTTTCAGATAATATATTATCTGAATCTTCCAATAGCCGAGTAAAGCTCACCCTGCTCATAATTATATTGGTATTATCTGCGTAATTCACAATATCACACTTCCTATTTATGTTTATTACTTCGTTTAGGTTATTTATATATGTTATAAACAAAAGAGGGCCAATAGTACTTCCCTGCAGTACACCCAATGTCGTTTCAACAACATCAGTTCTTGCACTTTGTCCATCTTTGCATAGGGTCACTGTCTGCTTTCGACTAAATAGGTACGATTTTATCCAATCTAGAGTGGAATCACGAATGCCATATCTACAAAGTTTTCCATATAATATACTATTATATACTACTATACTATACTACTTACCATATACTATATTACTATTGTAATAGCTTAAACAGTTTTTTAGCTTATTTTGGCTATTTTCTAAACGGTATATTGTTAGGTATAAAAACACACAGATTTTTTCTAATTTGAGCCATCTCGTATCTCTTACCGTTTCCTAGATCCTAATGCTATCCCATCCTTATCTTGGACAGACTGTATATTCATGGTGAAGCGAGTCAATGTTCAGAGTGAATCTTAATTGTGTATTTTAAATAGTGGTAGAACACGTGATAGATCCTTACCATCCACGTAGGCACTAGTGTTCAAAATATACATGCATCTAAATAGCGGGATTTAAAAAATATATCTAATTGTAATTTTCGAAAATGACTCACTGGACACAATATTCATCACGAATTAGACCCCCAATTAAGAGGTATGTGTAAATTTAATATTCATCCCACAGCCCATGTATTTATAATTTTAATTTAATTCTTGTTAATTTGTGGAGAGAATAAGGTTACAAGTGTTAAAGAACATTATTTTTAACAGCTGCTCCCTTGTCTAAGTAACACTGTTCTATTGTATTTTGTTGCTTATATTAAGACCTAGGATTAAGTTTTAGGCTATATTTGTACTGTAAGCTTGAATTAAAGACAGGGTGATTCATTAACAGTGGGAAAATCAAAGGCTGGAGATACTACACATGAAATGGTGACCATTAGCGCAAACATGCCTTATCCGAAAGTTGATAGTTTTGGAAATACAGGGTGGTGAAAGGTAAAATTTTAAAGTTTTTTTTGCGAATATTCTTAAAATATGTAGGTTAGGAACTTGAAAATTTGTGAAACTATATTTTTTTAGGCGACAGCATTGCTCATAGAGCCATTTACGACCAATTTTACCGAAAATTTAGTTGATAACTTTTTACCCTGTTTGTCTAACATGAAACTTGATTCAAAACCTGAAAGAGTAATCATTTTTCCATTAATATTGTGTATTCTTGTTTCATTTCGGTTTCTCGATCCGTTTTCGAGAAAAATCGATTTAACGAACGCTATGTTTTGATAATATGAGAAATTAAAAGCGAAACAAACCAAGTGTTTCTTCGTGTTATTACAATTAACAATAAAACAAATGAAATTCTTAATAATGATTTAAAGTCAGTGTTTGAAGAATCCACCGTT